CAGAACAACTTACAAATATAGATATTAAAACAGGTTGTCACCAAATTTCTCGTCTTAAAATTTCATAACTTTCTTCTGATTTTCAGACAAAATTTCATAATTCTTTTCGATGCTTTCAACAACATTTTGAAATTTTTTGTATTTTCGTCCTGATTTAAAAATCGTCAAATATTTTATTGAGAGTGCAATTTAACTAACTAGCAATGTAAATTACTATTAATGCTACTGACACTGCTTGCATTTAATTGTTAAATTGTTAATATTCTAAAATAGCATAGATGTGATGTACGCATACTAAACTTTTTAAAGCCAAGAATTTTAATTTTCCAGAAAATTTTACAAAGTTCCCTGATTTTTCTCAAACAGTTTACAATTTCTCTGATTTCTCTGATTTCTAATTTTGTGGCAAAGTTTTGTAACCTTACCTCTGGAAAACAATATTATTGTTACTATTATTTCTAATCACTGATTTTAATTGCTATAAAACAAATTGATTAGAAATAAGAGAAAAGAGCCAATAATTTTTTAAAAAAGATATATAAATGTAATTAACTCAAAATAACAATTGTTTGTTTAATGTATTGTTATTTTGAGTTAATTACATTTATATATCTTTTTTAAAAAATTATTGGCTCTTTTCTCTTATTTTTAATCAATTTGTTTTATACTTGTTGAGCCTTCTATTAATTTATTTTAATTGCTATAATTTTTGTTGCTACATTTCTAAATTTTCTAGCCCTCAACTCTCTCATCGTTTCATCGATTCAGTGCAATAAAATTTTATTATCAACTTCGCGTTGTCGTACTCGAATAAAGTCACCGCCGTCTTTCGTATCAAATAATCGCGAAAAGTTACACCCTTCGCAGGGTCACTCGATACTGTCAACGAACGAGTCGAAGGTCCTGAAAACGGGAGGAAGGGACTACCTTCCGTAGGGCTTCTTATAAGAATTCCTTCATACCGGAATGCACGGCGTCATCGTGTTACATTTACACCAAGTTTCGCGTAACTGTGAGAGAGAACTCGTATCGTTTCTCTCGTCGAACCGGTTTTTATTCGTCCTTAAATTACGAGTATTCCACCCTTCGTCCTCACCGTTTATCAAACGATCCCGCGTCGTTTGAAACAATAAAACTAATTCGACGGAGAGATTCGCAGATCCGATTTGGCGGGATTGGGATAATGATCCCGGATTGCGCCACGCTTCAACGCCCACGGCGTTATTTCTGTAAGGCAAGAACGGCAGAAGGGATCCCTTTCCCGCCCTTCGCGCTGTACAAATACGCTCAGGATTAAGGTACATTAACGGCGAGAATTGTGTCGTATATTTCAATCGCGATTTAATCGTCATGGGTCAACAGTCACAAATTGCTCATTTCAAACATTATCCACACTTTAAATTCTCCAAATCAATGCCCGAGAATTATAATATGAACTAACGATATAAATTTTCATCAACGATATACATATATCAATCGGTTTTGTAAGAGCTTTGAATATTTCCGATAATTTTCGGTTTAATTTTCCTTCAGAATTTCATAAATTTTTACTTTAATTTGAAAACACTGACGAATTCACAGGGAGAGGACATGACAGACATGTTCCTTTTCCTCCGAAACCTCCTTTTTTAAAAATTTTTATAGCAAAATAGTATGCATATTTTTAAAATGCTTAATTACAATTTTAATATTTCAAAAAAATTTTTAGATATAAGAAACTATAGATTTTGTTATATTTTTTTGTGTTAATATATATAATTTAAAATAAAATATTTTATGAATTATATATTTAAATAATATTTTTCCAGTGTAATAATTTTAATAGTAATATAATATTTCATCTTTCCATATTTGACCTTAAAAGAAAATTTTGGTTACAATGAGACAATGGCATAACAAATTTGAAATTTCGTCAATAAATACCGATAAATAACGACGACATTCATTCTAGAAATATTAGAAATTGAGAATTATTAGGATTTGATCAAGGTTACTGTATTCATTGTAAATATTTCACGCTTCGATTACATGACACAACAATGATTTTGCTTTTTTGAAAGTTAGAAGTTCTTTTACTAGAACTAAACTTTCCAATTTCTCGGTTATATTTCCAGTGACAGCCAAGGATACGTGAGAGAAACGGCCCAGGGAAATGATTAATAGAACTTGGGATCATTTCACTTCTGTCCTTGAGGAACATCATACTTTCCTTTAGAATTTTCTTCGTGTGTGTTCTGCTTCCGGAAAAAGTTTAAAGGCATTTTCACGTTAAGGTTAAATTTTCTTTTGACAATTTTGACAATACAACAATGGACACGTGATATATATATAATATTTCGTCATTTTTAACCGGCTACTGATGGTCGATTATGAAATCGACTCAGAAGAATGCTTGTCATTCTTTATTATAGCGTCATTTCGATGAAGTTGATCATAGAACTTCTTCGAAATTAATTGATGTGAATTAGATGCGCGTTATATATTTCTTCGAACAAGCTCAAAAATACAATATTATTTTTGCGTGTGAGAAATGTTAAGATAAAAAAAAAATACAGGAATAAATTAATCTGGTTGGTTTTTAGAAATCTCTCTTTTTGGTATTATTTGTATTAATTATAATACACAATACGAATTCTTAGAATAATGGAACGATTAGAATTATGGCAATTACTCCGTATCACTTAATATAGTAAAAATCAACGAGTAAAACGATATCTACTGACGTGAAGAAAATGCATAATAAATTATAAATTTATAATCTTAATTTACTCTTCGTGATTACGCAGGATATTTCGATGTGAGCGAAAGGATAAGTCGAAAACAGGCGGATAATGCGACGCAAATGATATCTTTAATTTATAAATTCTTTACAAATATGTACATTATAACAAAAATGTCCTCTTTACGACGATGGTATATCCAACGTAAACGTGAAACGTAAGCAGACGCAACGATCGACAATGATTCATCGTACTCGTTAGCCGAACGCTCGGGAATCATCGTGATTCATACGTATTTCGTCACTGGCGCGCGCGCGAGTCGTTCGTTCGATGAATATAGTCATCACGGTCTACACGATTAGATGCGAAATCCGCAATGTTCGTTTTCGCACGGACGCTGCGATCTTGTCTTCTCGCAACGGGAAACGATATATTTTATTATCACAAAATTTGGTGATTGATTTTTTCCAACACAGTCAGAGATAACCTCCTTAAAGAGTCAATCTCATTGCATTAAAATCTAAGAGTCTCAATAATTCCAATAAAATTAAACGCTCAATCATTGTAAAATTGCGATAGTCCAATTAAACTCACAATAAAAGCGATATATTTACTCGAGAAGATAAATCTATCAATGTATGTGTGTTCTCTTTAAAAAAATACTCACTATTATTATTACTTATAAGTATCGCAAAATTCGGCGGTAAGAACGGCTATTGAAACATGGAGAAAAAAAGTTTGCTCTGTGCGCTAATCCTATGTCATAACGGCAAATTTCATTTGCAACATTAGAATCGCAAATTATTTACAGATAACAAATATTTACAGGTAACAAATATTTGTTCTTCTCTGTATTCGCAACAAAAATTATTTGCAACGAATGCAAAATATTTGTCAAATATGCAAATTTGTATGTTATAAATAGCAAATAAATTTAGCAATTAAATTTTGCAATTCCTCTACGTTCGTAGCAAAATCATTTTTCTCCATGAAATAAGCTGCGCGATAAAATAAACAGGACAGTCCAAAAATGTGAAAATGCGTTTTCATAGCCTTCAAATTTGTTCCTGCCATGGACCCACTGAAATATAATATTTCAGTGCATGGACCTTGTAAATATGAACTAACAATTGCTAGTTAGTTTCTGCATAAAAAAACAATCTGGAGAAAGTTGGAGAAAGAAACATACTTTTTAGATATTTCTTTTTTTTAAAGGAAATACACATTACGCCATCAATTAAATATATGGCGTGTTAATAGCATATAAAAATTTAAGAAGGTACATTATAGAGTACCATAAATAAAATCTTTTTGCAAATATAAAATGCAGATAATTAAAAAAACGCACAAAATAAAACTTTGCAAAATTCTAAGAAATCACGTTGTAAAATTTTTTAATACAATTGCCCTTAATTCCTCACCAAATATAAATGTATAAACCAATCATATTAATGTGTTGCAATACGAAAGTTACCACGACTGAATCTTATACTTCGATATAGTATTCAAGCGTCGTTCGTCTCTTTCCCTGCATATGTCAAGCATGCTCGAAATATGTTTCCGAACACTTCTAGGACTACGTTCAAAAAAATTACCTGAATGTATCTGCGTATATCTATTTATCCTTCACCGAATGTCAAACAAGGATAAAATGATACTCAGGATGTCGTTTTTCTGAACGTAAAAAAAGAAGTACAAATACAATCTTGTTTGTATTGCCAGTCCATATATACAAGGTTTATGATTGCTGCACGCATGTTTATAGGTAATATAAATTAATAGCGAGAACGAAAAGAAAGAAAATTTTCCTTCAATAATTCTACTATTTATAAATTCGATTAGCAATCTTTTCGTTACGAATCAGACACAACATGTTCGTTCATGTTGCAGAACAGGCGAAAAAGTTGAGCATTAATATCTTTTCTTGTAAATTAATTATAATAAGATAATTAATAAAAAAATAATAAAAAAATAAATAATAATAATAATAAAATACTAATAAACAAAACTCTCGCTGTCAATTTAATTAATAAAGTTGTACAAATAATTATAGTTATTCATAATTAATGATTTTACAATAATCATGTAAGTTTCTCCGAATTATTTTAATAATAAAATCTTTAAAGTGTATTTAAACAATGCATTTGTAGAAATATCAATAGAATAAAGTTGTTTAAAAAAAATCGCAATTTCGCGCTGAAGGAGTCACTCAGAGAGACCGAGATCAAAAGAGACTTATCGTCAAGAGGCTCTTCTTTGTTTACCATCATCGGGAGCAGTCAGAAGGTCTACGCAAGTCTCAGAAGGCCCGCAGTCGCACCTCCATCTCGGGATCCTGGCGATGCGGCAAGTGAGGCTCGATTCCGGTCGCGGTGGCACCGGTGGCACCTGCACCGCCCACGTGTCGGCTATGGTGACCATGATGATGATGGTGGTGGCTGGTCGCATGGTGTGTGTCGTGGTGATAATGATGATTAAGATGCGGCGGCTGTGCGGCCGACGCTGGACCACTCCGGTAGGTACGTTGCTTCTCCTCAAAATCGCGCAGCCGTTGATTGTAACGCTCGAGCTGATCGCGTAGCAACGCGTCCTCTTCGGCGGCGTGTTCCTCGTCGTACTCGAGGCACCCGACGCCGTCCAGTCGCTCCAGGTCGATCCAGCCTCGCCACCTCACGCAAACACCGTTCATGATTAAATGCGAGCGCAAGTGTACCTGGAACATCGCCATCGGACGGAACATTGTTCTTATGAATTCGTTGTTGATGTTACGTGTGTCTTAATAGATAGATGATTAGGATGTTTTTGGATCGATTCGGGATCAACGGAGAGAACTTGAAGTATCGAAGATATTTGATGAGGCTTCTGAGGCAGGGTGTATTTTGAGGTAAAATCGTTTTGCATTGAGCATCTCTTCTTGAATGCAGGATTAATTGCGTGGGAATATAGGAGTGAAATTCGAATTTTTCAATATTGAAATAATGATAATAAATAATAATTCATTATAATAAATTGATAATTCCTTTGGTATCCAATTCGTATTGCAGGTAGAAAGAAATCGATACATTTGATGAAATGGTACATTTGATACTATATCTTGCGCAATGATAGGAATTTACATCCATTATGAATCGTTATAGTATAATATACTTCCTCTTCTCTCAAAATGTGTTTTATTGATTACCGCTCAATTAACGTTCATTCCAATGGATGTTAGGATTAAAAAGATTCAAAAATTTTTAAGTGTTAGTAGTTTGATTTTTCTATCTTGTTATTGAAATTATTATTTAATTTAAGACCGTTTTATAACTTTAAAAACTTCCAATAATTATACATATTAGTAAAATATTTAGTAAAAGACCAGCGACTCATTATTTCGATACTGTATATTATATTAATTAAAATAATTAGTAGCTATTTGGTATCACATACACATTGAAAAAAATTTATTAAATTTTAATAAATATTTGTTTAAATAGTACTAAAAAAGTACTTATTTAGAGTAAATGAATATTTATTCAATTAAAAATATAATAAATCAAATTAATGGCTTTTACCAAATAAATAAATGTTTACGTTTAGTAAATATTTAATTAGCACTATTCAAATAAATATTTGTTACAATTAGTGAACGTTTTTCTCAGTGTACCTAATAGTTAGTTATATGTAACTCGACCGTCTTATGCCCAATTTCTTCACTTCTATAGATAAATTGCGGATAATCTTATCTATATTGAACAGTACTGAATTAACTCTTAAATGTCTTTTCTGTATATCATAATCGAAACCTTTTTTCCAACGCTTCTTTCATTGCTCATCGCACCTTTTTATTAATCGTATTAGCTATATATTATACATCAGTGTATTGTTTTTATAATAATATCCAATTTTTTCAGTTCTAGATAATTTTATTCAGGAGATGTTTCCATTGTATTCTGGAAGATATCTCCTGAATAAAATTATCTAGAACTGAAGAAATTAGGTATTATTATAAAAACAATACACTGATGTACAATATATAGCTAATACGATTAATACAAAGGTGCGATGAGCAATGAAAGAAGCGTTGGAAAAAAGGTTTCGATTATGATATACAGAAAAGACATTTAAGAGTTAATTCAGTAATGTTCAATATAAATTATCTAATATTGAAGTTTTGAGGGCAATGTATTTATCGTGACGGAATGGTATTGCCAATTCAAGTTCCTCGAAGTTTACGAGAGAAAATGACGTGGCGCGTTGATCTCTTCTCAAAGCCGTCATCGGCCGCTCGTTTCGCTCGACCTCTCGATCTTTCTTTTTTCAAAATTCACGTCGGCGTGGGTTGTATAGGAAGGCTCCATTACGTGCTCTACGACCCGCAAGTTTCAATCACGCGCGCCCCCCGTTCTTTTGTCCCCCCCCCCCTTCTTGAGCCACATCTCCATCGTGTCCGACAACGGTGAATGTTTCTTATTTCCGGAGAACGATTACGCAGATTGGAAGGTACGAGGAGGCCTCGCGGTTCTTCTCGAGATGAAGGGAAAAATGAGATTGAGAGAAGCGAGGCTATGTTCCTCGTAAGAAGTCAATTACGAGCAGAAGTAACTGTCGATGGCATTTGCACGAGCCGCCGTAAAAACTCGCCGAGTATTATTATCTCGCATATTTCGATTCGTTGCAATCTTTATGGAACATTAGGAAATTGCCAGTCAAATCATGCGCGATGTATATCTTAAAATATCTACACAGAAAAAAAGACTATTCTTAAATCAAATCAATTATAATATCGGAGAAATTCCATTTAGCACAGCGATGTATTAATTTCTTTTTTAAATTTGACTTTATTTTACACTTATTTATGATTTATTTTATTTGGAGCCTTTGTCTTTATATATTATTTATGTTAAATATGTTTTCTACAGGTAAACTAGTATACATTTTCGGAATTTAAAGTAAAATAGTATATGTTCAATATTTGACTAAAGTGAGAAAGAAAGTTGCAGTTTTAATGCAGAGAGAGAGAGGAGAGAGAGAGAGAGAGAGAGAGAGAGAGAGAGAGAGAGAGAGAGAATCTACAATAATGAAAAGAAACGAACAGAGCGGCGCTCGTTAGCTAGATAAACCAGATGCAATTTTGCGCGATATCGCAATTATATCGAGAAAAAGAGAGGGTTCTACGGATTGGATTGTCGTCATCGTGCATGATTAAACTTTCGTTCACGATCCTCAGCGCGCACATCTATTA